CCTCGGACCTCGTCCGATGCGGCTGTCCTACAGCCCGTCCGGCAATGCAATGCCGGCACCAATTTCGATACTGCACATGGCCTGTCGCCTCGCGCTCTTCGATCTCAGCCGGAGTTGGATCCTCCGGTGCTCTTATCTGGATGGGTTTCTCAACCTCATCAACTAATTCCAACTCATCATCCTCTTCTTGCCCCTCTGGACCAGGTCGGCCTGAATCCATAGAGGCATCTCCTCTTTCTCCTGCGGCGTTCAACTCTGCAATGCCACAGCATTCCTTGGTCGGTTTATACCCTGGCTTTCTCAAGTAGAAATTGTACACTCCCTGCTCTTGATACACAGGGATCCAACTTCGCTGCTCTGCAGCGCTCGCTTTCTCCAGGATCGCCTGAACAGCCTTTCCAACTTTGGACCCTTGCGGAATCAAGTTTCCGCCATTCACATCAAGAACTGCAATCCTTCCAAAGCCTAAGCACTTGGACGCTGAAATCAATGGCTTGTGAACATCGGCCATTGAGCCTTTCACGCGGCATTTGTTGCCGCTCTCATCGAACCCTTCAAAGGTTCCAATGCCCTGACTGGGCACCAACTCTCCTGATGCAGTCTTGAAAACAACCCCGTTGCCTTCACTGACAACCACTCGGTCCTCCCAGCCATTCGGGATGGCTGTCTGGGCTGCTCCAGTGTCCAGGTTAAACTTCATCCATTCTTCGGCGGACGAAGTATCCGCTATTCCAATTCCACTCAAGTCTGCCATGAGCATTCCGACATCTGCTTCCGGAGCTGGCTCAATGCCATCGTCCGGATCGTCCATCTCTTCCATACTTCCTGCGGCTTTACCTTTGCCGCCTTTTCCACCTTTGCCTTTACTGCCTTTGCCACCTTTGCCACTCTTGTCTCCTTTGCCTGAACCTGACCATTTATCGCCTTTCCCATCCGGCCGTTTCTTGCTCCAGCAATCGGCCGCTCTGTGTCCCTTCTTACCGCAATTGTAGCAGGTGATATCTTAAGCCGTACTTGAGCCTTTACTCGAATCTCCTTTGCTTGAGCCTTTCTTTCCATCACCTTTGACCTGTTTACCTTTTCCTTTACCTTTTCCTTTGACCAGGCTTGCAATCCATTGTCCGATCGAATCGACGTCCATTGGTTGTGGTCCTTGATAACTAGAACTCGATGAACCTGGTTTTGGAACAGATGACTTAGATGTGAGAGATGTTTCGATAACAAGCTCGATTTCCTGTTTGATGAGTGCGTAGGTTGTTAGTCTACTTTTGTTCAACAGGAGGTGTTTTTCCAAATCGGGTGGAACAAGCATCTCTAATGAGGCGGGCTTGATGTCGTCCGATAGAGTCTCCCTTGTCCCTGCGGCACTCCTCCGGGACTCGTACCGCCTGATGAGTTCTTCGAGCTGTTCGATCGCTGGCCTCACCGCGGACCACGTTTTGACTCGTTCAGGTTGGAGAATCATGCTCGAAGTATATTGCGTTTCCGTCCCGAGGTTCGGGGATCCCAACGACGGTGAACCCGTCGATATGCTTCAAATCCATTTGAAGCTCCTACCATCAAATCCTCTGTTTCACCTGAGGTCAGGGTCAGGAGGACGCGATGAATTTGATCAGCTTTATCCTCTAGATCGTCGATGGCTGCTATAGAGCCAGGCCCAAACGCGGATTCCATTCCGCTCATTTCAATCGCGTCTTCCTGCTCCAAGATGTATTCAAGGATTTCTATGAACTCTCTCCCAAAAGTGGTTATGAACAGGTTGTCGATGCTCCTAGCCCACTTTCGGAATTCCCCTTCAACATTCCCAAAACTCTCAGGACGTCCCAAACCCTTGGTATCCATAAGTATTTGGGACTTTCGTCTATCCTCCTTTTTCTCAAGGCTCTTGGCCAGTTCTCCCACTGCTGAAGCCAGCATAGATACCCCACCTTGGGATTCTCTCAGTACCTGGTTCTCCTGTCCCAAACGTGCCTGGTTTTGCTGAAGCTGCAAAACCATATCAGACAACTGTTGAATCTGCTGTTCCAATGCCATGGTTCCCTAATCTCAACCCCCTGAAGGCGCTGCTCTCGCACCTTTTCAACTGCGGACGGTTCGTCCGGTCTCCGGCCCCTTACCAGGCCGGTCCAAGGGCTTTCACCCTTGGGACAGGTCAGACGGAGATTTTGGGCTCTCACGGGCCTCTGAAGCGGCCCGGGCTCCTGCGGAGGTCAACTCCACCGGATTGCGGCCGATCTGAAGTCGGCGAGCCGGTGGTGGCCCGTCCGGAGATCTAGGCCGCCGAACCGGTGGCGATCCGTCTGGAGGTCGAGGCCGCCTTACCGGACTGCGGCTCCTCTCCTTCAGTCTCACGGAAGTCTCTTCTTCCGATGGGCTCTCCTCCTCCTCTTCTTTCTCTTCGGCTGTATCAGCCGCTTCGCTCTTCTTCTGAGCCTTTCGCTTTGCGCTCTCCTCGCGCTTCTCTTTACTGCGGAGTCTTTGTTCTTTCCGCTCTAACCTGATCTCCTCCTTGGGGCGCTCTTTGCCAAACTCTTTGATCCTCTCCTGCAGGTCTTCTGTAATGACACCCTGCTTCTTTTACAACCTCACCAAGTCCTTGAGCTTCCGATACTGAAGCGAAGTTTGGCTTCGATGTCGGAATCCGGACTTTGGTTCTGGGTGCTTCTTCACCCGCTTCCTCCAAGGTGCTTTGGGATCAACCTTGGCTGGGGTATATTTGGCGTGAGTGCCACGAACTTCCCAACCTGTCTTAACACCTTCTGGGGAGGTTTTGAAATCGGCGATAACTCGGCCAGATGATGGCCGTGCGGCTGAACTAGCCGCTCCAGCCTCTGGCTCAATTGTCAGGTCCTGTTCAGGCTCTTCTTCCTCTCCTGATTCTTCTGCTCCTTCTGTATTCTCCTTTTCCTCCTTTGTTTCTGCGGTCTTCTCAACCGCTGAAGTTGTTTCTGCGGCTTTCTCAACCGCTGGAGTGGTGCTTGCGGCTGAATCCGCCGCTGATGTGGCTGGCAAAGGCTCTTTCTCCTCCTCCTCTTTTTCTTTACTTCCTTCTCCTTTTCCACTCGGGGCGGCAGAAGCTGCCGCTTGCGAGGATCCCAGCTCCTCCTCCTCGGAGCTCTCGACTTTACTGTGTCTTTCTTCCTTTATGCGCAGCGCTTTGTCCCTGTCACTTTCACCGGACTCGTGCGCTACCATGAAAACGAGGTTTCGACGTTTCGGAACGCCTTTTCACCTTGAGCCAAAACACGTCATGAGTCACGTGTCTGCAGTACTCTAGCGGAGTATTTATGGGCTGTACATGCAAACACTTTTTATGTTCTCTATATACTGTAACTATAACCAAATCCGAGCTGTGCCTCTTTGGGTAGATACTTTGACGCGCACTCCTTGAATATCTCTTGAAGAGCTGCTGTGTAGCGTTTGAAGACCTGCCATGCATCAAAAACAGAAAAGGATAGCGGTAGCACTCCATCTGCTAGCCTCTTCCACTCTCTCTTGGCTTGGCTCTGCTTCTTTGGGGCCCACATCCACTGGCTTACCTCAAACTCACAGGGAGATGGTGGATAGACAATTGCTAGACTCTACTAGACCTGCTCGATCCTCCTCATATCCTGTGATTGGAGGACCAGAGAGTTTGTTGCTTCACCCTTGCTACCTGCCAAACCTAGGAAAATCCAAACAGTCACTGCTGGCTACTGGGCGAACCAAAGCAAAAGAAATGATTCTTTTGGCTGTTCAGCGTTGCTAGCTTCAGAGGTAGAGATGTTCACCACTAGCCACTAGTAGTGAAGTAGGTCAAGGCAAGCACAAAGGCTGCAACTAGTTCTCTCTCTGTCTATCACGCTGCCCTTTCTGCAGCAGGGAAATTACTGCAATGCCAAAGATACCAAAGTGGATGTGCAAGCGACGCCCAGCCACCTCGGCCATCTGAAAGCGAGATGCCGTAATTACATGGTAGATTGTTCATGTCAATGTCAATAGTTCCTATGGTAGGTGGACTGTATTCTTCCCCCTGCAAGGATGGCGTAGCTGTCTGCGTTCAGTTCTTCTCGCTAGCCCCTCTGGCAAGCGACTGTTGGCCATGAACCTGTACAAGAACTGTACTGCCATAACAAGACAAGAAAGCAGGGAAGGTGTCTGGTACTTACGTCGAAGTGATACTAGGCTGGCTTTCCTGTTCTTGTATGTTGTTGTGTTTAAGGAATTACTATATATATATATATCTATATGTGTCTTGTACAGTCAGTCATTGTTTGCCCATCAATGGTTGATTCCTACAGCAGAGTATATACTATACTGCTACCAATTCGTCGTTCCTCATTTGTGGTTGCTTAGGGCCTTCAGTTCACCTAGAGCACTTCAGAAAGAGGCTGTGTTCACGCAAAGTTGATTGCTCACAAAATTGATTGAATTCACACAGGGATCGCAATTCATACACAGGTACCAAATTCACCTCAATTGAATACGAAGTTCTCGGATCAATGCTTCGCAGTTGTTGTGGAAGCTTAGGTTGGTTGTCAGCTGTTGTGAGTAGAGATGAACATATCGAAACCTTCCTCACATGCTGCTTCTGTTTCTGTGAGGATGTTGCCTTGGTGATAGGTGCTCACTCTGCCTTGCATCGTTTGAGCTCCAGGGAACTATTGTTGGGGGCGCGACAGGCTACTTGGCAGCTTATGGCAGCTTCATTTTGCATTCTTCATTGACGGTGACTTTCTTTCTGGGACTTTGCTTTCTTCAAGCCGGACAGTTCCGACAAGTACTATTGTTGATGGCTTGATTGGCCATTCGATGATACATTCCTTTGTCTTGCTTTGATCAATATATGTAATGTATGCGACTTCCAAATGAATCTCAAAGCCTTCAAGTGACAAGTTGTCTGGTCGGTTGCATCTGTGTACTTTGCCAAAATAGACAAACCCCAGGCAAACGGCCAGTACTGGCAGTGTACAGATTCAAGAAAACATGTCCTTCGCTGTTGGCTGAGGCGCAAACTGGCACTACGAAGGGATTGGGAAGCAAAGGAGACACTGGGATTCCAAAAAGGCCTTGTCACAAGGTCACTGAGACATGGAAAACAAAGGGGGAGAGCAGACTGCCGTCACCACCATTGCAACACCATTGGCTCACCACTGCATTAGTCAGTCACTGGACTATCATTCATGCGGAACCAGGGCCAATGCCAATGATGAGAACGTTGCCGATCTTGAAGTTCCTGAGTATAGCTGTCGCAGTCGCCACTTGGCAAACACAAATCAATGCCGAACTTCTACACATCTGCAAAACGATGCCAGTTCTTTTTTATCCAAGATTTGTTCAAGTTGGGATCTTCTGCTTCCCTGAAAAAGTCTATCCAGTTTACCTGTATGGGGTCCTTGCTGTCAATTTATCAATTTGGGGGTTGCATCGTTGGGGCGCACAATGTTTGCAGTTGCTTTCCACTGTCTCCCGTATCTTTGCTGCTGCAGTATTCTGGTGGGGTTCCACGCTGGTATAGCTATGTGTATAATATGTGTATACAACAACTCAATTTCTGCCAAGCAGCTCATAAAAGAACTTATTGATGGACTTAACCCATTCGGCTGTCCTTTGATTAAAGAACAATGCAGAGATTTGTGGCTTGACTCATGATAAACTCTGCAATGTGTGTTCAAACATCTGTAAACAAAACAAGCGTCCTGAAGAGCTGGTTCTCACCAAAACTGTACACTGGTAGGAGGGGCAACCCGTGTTGGATGGCCAGCCTGCACAAATGGATTGCCACACGCTTTGCAGAGGCAAAAAGGCTCACTTCACGGTGGCACATGCACCTTGACAAGGGCATGAATTGAAGTTGTGCCTGATAAAACCCAGGTTGGCAGGGAAGAAAAGCCGCTCCTGGTACACATCTGCACATACTAGGTTGGTACTTGGCCAAGTCTATGAGGCTGGCAATTGTCGTGGGCTTATTTATCAGAGAACACCTTGTTCTCATCTGTCTCCACCTGCTCGTAGATGCCACCAGGCTGCACCTCATCAGCCAAGACTATGCTCAGTGTCGGGCAAGATCCAGAACGGGGACACGGCGGCGCAACCTCTAGGGGATGCAGCCAAACAGACCGCCAACCAGATCTGTTGTTTTCAGTTTCCACAAGCTGACGTAGATGGATTTGTCTTTATTCCAAACGTACGGCAATCATGACAATAAGGACAAGCCACAAGCCCCGCACTAGGCCAGAATCACCAAGCTCTCCGAGCGTCCAAGCGGAATTGTGCCAAGCCAGGCAGCCAAAAACGTGTACTCCCCGCCCCCCATTTTCGATAGCATCTGGCTTTCGTCTCCCCCTTCTCAGGCAGCCAATCCACTCAAACAAATTCCCTGTCTTCCTTACAGTACCTGAACCGATTGACCAAGGGTGGCAAGCTATTATTGTTTGAAGCAAAATGGCTATATAACAAGAGTCACTTTTCAGGCAGCGGACAGCAACTGTGGCTCCCTGATCCAAAAGCTTCTTGAAGGTCCTGAAGTGAGGCGGTCTTCGCATGTCAGTTTGACAGAAAGGATTTCTAGATACTCTTCAAATCGTTTTTTATATTGTTCGTTCTCAGGTCTAAGATTCTGAGATCTTGGCTTGCGATCTTGACTTCTAGCATGGCCTCAAAGCTTTTGCTGCTGCGTTGCCTATGCTGGCGTACAAATGTCCTCTGCATAAGGAGCCTTACTGGGGTCTGGACACAACATCAGGTATTCGGCGAGAAACGGTACTCGAAGCAACCTGACGCGATGCTGCTCAGTTGCAACTCTTTGTGTGTAACAGTGTATATAATATATATATATATATTATATACTGTACATATATATATATTGCGCTCCTCATGCAACTGCTAAAATTGCCAAGGTCCTTGCAATGGTGCCACACCTAGGCACACAAGGGCGGCTCTTCCCTGGTATAGGGGGCGTTTCAACATAGATACTTCCAACACATAGGAGCCTTCCTCCGGCAGAGTCTGCAAAACTAGCCGCTAACCCTGCCATCAATCTGCAGCACAAGTTGCTTACAAACTGGCGGCCGCGTTGCTGGCTTGGGAAGTCTTCTGCCTCAAAGCAGAACACAGCTAAGACTCAGACATTGTATTATACAGAAGAGCCAAACTTGATGTGCCTTCCGCTTGCCCCGACAGTTGCAGCATGTGTTGCTAAGTTCGCCCCATTGGGCTAGAACTGGCTGAGTTACCGCACCCAGTATCGAGATATGAAGCAAAGGGCTGAAATTGCAAAGGCGCCATGTGGGTGCCAACACACGACCTGGGCCGAGGAACAAATGGAGACGCATAAAATAGCAAACCCAAATTCAAACCAAACGGGTGAACACATACGGTCTTCTTACAGGGCCGAATACTGGACAGTAAACGTGCTGGACGGCGCATCCCAACTTTCCAAAAACAGCGACTAGATATCCAGAGTCCAATGTTCCCAATGAGGGAATATTTTTGCAAGGCGTCATCGCTGTCCTGTTGGCCACCTGGGAAAGGAGGTGACGAAAACCAGCCTCCGTAAGAAGACATCCATGTGGTTATGGGGTGAATTTGACAGCGCGCTGGAACTGCTGTCAGGCATGGGGAAATAGAAAGCAGAGGTGGAAAGTCTCGCATTGAGGGACGATATGACAGGCTCTGTACACACAAGGTTTCGTTATAGGATAGCAGTGGAGCCCACGCGCTAGGAAAATGTTCAGTTGAACAGGAGGGGGAGAAAGGTTGACTTGAGCAGGACATTCACAGGTGGGGGGTTGGGGTGCCCTTTTTCTTTTGGTTCAGGTACGTTTTCAAGCTGAAGAAGGGCACCCTAAGTACCTGAGGGGCGCTTGCCTGCTGTTTGTTTCTCTTGTCTTGTAGGTGGACTCATAGACTCGGCGTGCTGCTAAGAGGGGGCCGATGTTACTGCCAAGATCAAGTGATTGCCCAACATGTTATGGGGTGAAGTCGACATTGTACTAACGCCTACTGCTGTTAGAAAAAGAAAAAGGAATACAGTACACAGATTCGATCTTAATGGAAAGCAATGAAGAAAGGATGTTCAGGAGCTTTGAATATCATTAGGCCGAACACGACTTTTCTGCAAGCTGCTCGATGGGTCGCCGCGTGGGCTACGCAGTATGGTGAAGCGGCGACGCAAAACTCCCCTGGATCTGCGGCAACACCTGGGTCAACTCCCATCCACTTTTACAGTGCGTAGGATGAACGTCGATCCGTACCAAAGCCCAACTCCCCTGGACATCCATAGCTCTAAGGGGCGCCTTTCTCATCTAGTTAGTTAAGGGCCCTCTGCACCAAAAATAGGCCACCCCCAAGCCACTCAAAGGTTTCTGATTGCCGTCTATTCCCTCTCCTGTCCTCTAGTCACGTTCTTTCTTGCGTTTCCTTTCACTCTTATTTGCCACGAGAAAACAGAGGGGTGAGAGACGCACGTCTCACTTTCCTGGTGGGTTCCCGACCTCTTTTCCTGTCACGTCGTCCCTCCCTTTCCTGTCCTCCACATGACCTCCCACCCCTCATCCAAAGCCCAACTCCCTGGGATAGCTCTGAGGGTGCTCTTCACCACAACAAGGAGCACCCCCAAGCAACTCAAAGCTTGCCATCTGCTCCCTCTCCTGTCCTCAACGGGCGACACCGTTTCTTGCGTTCCCTTCCACTCTCATTAATCACAAGAAAACAGAGTGTTGAGAGACGCGCATCTCGCTTTCCTAGTGGATTTCCGACCGCTTTTCCGTGGTCCCCCCTTTCCTCGACCTGAACTCCGACCCCTTGTCGAAAGACTGTCCAACCCTCATGATGCTAATGATGCACTATTTGGCGTATCACTGCATCACAAGACCCCAAAAACCATACGTTTTCACTACTTTTCGGACTGCCTGTTTGTGTTTTTGCTCTCCCCCACCAGGCTCTGGGTTGTCACCCCCCCCCCACACACACCCTATACTCACTTCGTTCGCCCATCGACAACTCCAACCTAGCCTATCGGCTGGCGTTCGTGATTAAAGGTTAGAAAGGAAAACGGCACAGGGGAGGCCATCTGAACGATACTCAACGGGCACACCCTCTCATATCTTAAATTATCTTAATCTTAAATGTGTATATTATATATATATATATATATATATATGCCATTGCCCATGGCCAGTCAATCTGTCTCCAACCCTGCCAAGGCAAGGTGAAGGCAGATTGGATTCTTAGCCATGCCATGTGTAGTGCAAATGCGCTTGTCTGGGGAGCAAAAGAAGGGTCAAAGCTACTTTCGTTTGGCCTCCCAAGCAAGCTGTCACAGCTATGCCGCTTACATACTGTTTGCCATCGCTCCAGTGGCCCGCTGCTGCATGCTCAGCCACCTTAGGCTGAATAAAATGTCGTGCAACTGGCTATTCAATACTGCTACTGTACCGCACCCGGCTGTGCTGTTGAGTGGAATTTGCACAAATCAGAGCGGGGAACCCTGGAAGGCAATCGGATCGAATCGTGAAATTGCTTGACCAAGTGTCAGGCATTGTCTGAGTAGTTCAGGTACCAGCACCTTCGTCCGCAAAAAGTGCCAAAAGCTCTGGTGAAATGCACGTTGGCCTAGATGCTTGTTGACCCCATATGAGCTGCTCTGCTTTGCTTCTCGGACATACAGAAACAAACTTTTCTTGGACCAAGTCTGGCAACAAGTTGAAAGTTTGTGGGGCAATGCTTGCTTACAGGGCTGTACTTGGTAGCAGCCCGTGAACTATCAGCAGGAAGTACGCTTATGCTTCCTGCTGTAGGCTAAACTCTCGATAAAGTGTTGTGGCATCTGGACAGATTGGCCTTTGAACAAAGGCCTATGGAAAGCGATCATTGTACAGTGTACAGATTGTCCGAGGCTTTTGCACCTAACGTCTATCAAAAGTATAGGAGCATGCATTCTCTTTCGGAGTGTGTCTGCTATTGTCACACATCTCTTGCTGATTCAACAAAAGACTTGACTCTCCTTGTTCATCTTGCCCAGGCACGAAAAGTGGAACACCACCTTCGATACCTGGCATCACTTCACATCAAAGCTCGCGCCCACAATTACCCTGAAAGTAGCTCTCGCCAGAAAGGGATGGCACATCCATCTGGCCCAGGTTCCAAGAATAAACCCGGCGATTGGCCCCAATAGCAAACAAGAAAACCAAACCACCAAAACACGACCTTAACACCACCAAAACGTCGTGCCCTCCGGCTGGCCGCCATGGAAACACATCCGCCCATGTTTATTCATGGTAACGTTCTGTAGACAAAATACCTTGACAAAATACGTTCTTAGAAATTCTTTCACCAAATCTCTTGAATCTGTACGCTTTCTGAGCTTCCCCGCTGCCACTGCCAGCCACTTTGGGCCCCAAGGCCTGACAGAGATTGAAAACGAAGAACAGAGATGAAGAGAAAAGGAAGGTCAGGCCATACCTTCCTTTCTTCAACTCTTTTTCGTCTTTGATTCTCCTACTGTAGGATCCATGGCAGTCTGAGCGGCAAATGCGAGTGGGCAGCATTCCGCAAGACCAGGATATACCTCTTGCGTCACACCGAGTGAGTCTGAATTGAGTCTGACACAAGGCACGTCTAACGCATTCCAAAGGCTTCTAAAGGTCACCACCCCAGCCAACTGAGCAAGGCTACAGCACCTGTGCCTGTGGCAGGAATCTCAGAAGACTGAGAACACACACTCAAAGCAAGCAGTTGGACAAGTTACAATGATTGATGGTCCGATAAGCAAGGACTAAGGGCTTACCTTGAAAGGGTGTCCTTGACCAAAAGTTCAATGGACCCATGAGCCTGGACCGTACGATTTCAGTATATACCAAAACTGCTTCCACCTTGATAGATGGGCAACAAGCAATCAGCAACCATCGGAACACTCAGACGCTTAATGTTGTACTACGATCGTGAACTCAAGCAAGGCCCTTTGTTTCACGCCTGCAAGAGTCATGTAGTGGCACAGAGGACACCTGCTAGACCCATCGTATGTAAGTTTGCCACATGCAATCATCGTGAAACAGGGAGTTCAAAAACTTCCAGACCTTCCAGCCTCTATGGTTTACTATGGTGTTTGGGGCCTGGGGTATTCAAAACCACTCAACTTCCGTGTCGGCAGGGACAATCAGGAGTGGAGTCGCACAAAGCAAAGAGAAAATGAATCAGACTTGACCGTACATGGGGACCGCTGGGTTGCAAAAAAATCCATCGACAAATCTGCACAAAGTAGCATTTAGAAAGGAACCTAAAGGCCTTGTCTAAGCTCACGTAGTCGGCAAGCAAAGCTTTCAAGATGCAAGCTCTCTCGATAGCTCTCCCTTTGGTTGTGCAATAACTAGTCGAAACCTCCTTTCCTGAGTTGACATTGCTGCTAAAGTGTCCCCATATCCCTGCTACTTGTGGCATCTTGCGGCCAAATTTCACTCCGTGCTTCGACACTTGAGCCAAACCACAGGATGCCGAACTTCAAGAAGTTTAAGGGAAGCTGCCAGAATTCTTTGAGGTCTGACAAATAGCAATAGCACCCCAAACCATCCTACACACCAATGAATGCAGAGCCAGCAAGTGTGTCCGGACTCCTAGTGGAACGAGTTCCGATCCTGCACACGAGAGACAGCTGCACTCTTGTGACGGCACAACTTGCTGGAAAGGACCATATAAATCCATCTTTGGCAGTGATTGGGCAAACTAAGTAACGAATGCACTTAAGTAACCTTTCAAGTAGGCACGTGTGGCTTTCACTGGATGTGATTTGTATACAGACCAAAGGAAGTTCAGTCCTTTCATCAGGTCTTGCTTCAGCCTGTAAGCTATGTGAAAGGCATCCATCACAAATTACAAGCAGCCTAAACGGAGAAGGAAAGCCTTTCATCGCCTTCATCCCTAGACATTCAGTCTGGTGAATGGTCTCAGGCTGTTTCGAGTTGGGCTAAGTTTGGTATGCATCAGAGTTACCAGTGCAAATGCAATGCTGCCGCAGGTTGGATGTTTCAGTTCAGAAATCACGGGTGTGTGACGTGCCTTTGTTCAGATCATAATTACGCACTTGCACGTTGACTTTAACACACAAAACTCAAATGTTATTCAAACCTTCTAGACTGAGCCGGTCACCTTCGCTGCAGCCTCCTGAGGCATGATGAAGTAAACTTTTCTGCGTTACCCCTCATCTGACCCATGATTGCCCATATGGTGCACCTGTCCACGTCGGGCGCCCACAACCTGGAATATAAATCACAAAAGTATCGATTATGCTTGCAGGTGAGCAGAGGAACAAAAGCACAATATTCAACGCCAGCAATAAGAACCAAACCATATCAATGAGTTGACCGCAACCAAATGCGCCCGTGGTTAAGATCCTGCCATATCCTGCCTCCCAGTAATTCCAGGCTGCTTGCACCCAGGACTGAAACGCTTTGGCCTTAATTCAATGTCTGAAATCCACAAACATGATGATATGTTGCATGTATGTTATTAGTGAGTATACTAATCCCATACCCATAAATACATTCTAAACAGTGGTTTTCCCTGTCGGCCGCCTCATTGGCATGCCTGCATGTTTAGTTTTATCTTTTGAGTGGTCTCAGGACCATGCAAGGTTGATCTCCTGAAGCTGAACATCTCGTGACTTATGATTTTTTCATAGCTTGTCTGTCTTTCCCAATGACGTTTACGTTTTGCAAAGTGCATGTCTTGGACAGGTTTCTTTTCAATTGATTCAGGCCCTCCCCTCTCTTTGTCGCTCAGTATGAACCATCTTTGATGATGTCCAGATTAGCACCGCCTGTGAAATCACGCACCAAGCTTAGGAAGTCCCATCTTGGCTGCCAATTGAGCCTCTGCCACGTGTCGCGGGAGTCAAGTATCCGGCCAAGTGGTTTTTGCGGGAATTTCCAGTCTAAAGCCCTGTACATGGACTTGGCTGATTCAAAAAACTGGCTGTCCAAATCTTCATGGTCCAAAAGTGGTGAGCAGGCAGAAATGATGAATGGCCCCAGCACTCGGCGCTCGTCGTCTGTTGCTATTCTTCCCAATGCTGCGAGATGGGCCATGACCATATCTTCCAAAGATGCTCGCAGGCCACATAGCAGTTCGTTGGCTTTCACATTTCCATTAGAGAGTGTGGCGCCACGTGTGGCAGGATCCATGGAAGTATCATAAGCATCCTCACATGACCATCTACATGTTCATGTCAAAAAGTGGACAGGCGAAACCCTCCAAATTTGTTATACAACATGGTTTTAAAAACCGAATCTCCTCTGCAAAAAAAACGGCTGCATCTGAGGATAGCCACGCTGCAACCGGAGTCCACGCAGTACTGTTCTGCCTTTTTCTTGGTCACGCCATAAATGTTGCGTGGTGTGCCATAGTCCTCCGACGCCTTCAACACCAATGTGCTCGACCTACAGGCATGTTGCGAGAGGATGTCGAGTCAAGTTCAAAATGTTCCACTCGAAGTGTGTTTGATGCGAGTTAAAGCTTTCTAGCGTTGTTCATGCGCTTGGCGCTTGGCATCTCCCAAAACAACAAACTTGGCCATGTGGCTTGGAGCGCTCCTTCACCTTCTGAGTGTTCATGAGCGAAGTTGTTGAGGAGAACACACAGCTCAGCCCCATTGCAGTTGCAACATTCAAGACATGACGGGTGCCGCCCAAGTTGACATGCTTGTAGTCAGCCTTCACATCAGGCAAATCAAACTGCAGACTAACAAATATCTTGAAACATCAAGCCCAAAGTGAAGGTCACCAGACATGCCGCAGCGTTCCTTTTCTGTCGAGTGGCTTGCTGCAGCCCGAGCTCTTAGACTGCAGTTCCGTGGGACGCAATGGAATTTCCACCAACAACCCACACCCCAGTGCAAAAGGAAAGGACAAGACTACAAAGGAAAGTGGGCACCCTGCAACAGGTACCATGGTGTTCTGCCCAGGAACCTATATGCCATGTATTTGTTGCAGTTGGTCTTGACGCCGCGTCAGCAAATTGCCTTGCTGGCACCATCTCATACGAAACGTGTCTTGAAACAATGCGCGGATGAACTCATGTGACTTGCGTGCCCGGACCCTCAGGGCTTTGATCTCAGGAAATCCTTCTACTCCATGAGCCCGGTGTTTCAGTACTCTACAAGCTGCACCTGCAACTCCGGAAGTCTTGCTTGTCGGTGTCTTGGAGTCTTGAGGCTCAAGCATGGCACAGTTTGCGTGAAGGTAGGATGGGGCCCTGGGGCCCCATCAGACACATCAGCACACCTCGCCCGCGCATTGCCGGATCATCCACTGCATCATCATGATCTTCAGAGCCCGGCAGAACGAACTGTCCGCAAGATTTGGCTTCGAGCTTGCGGGGGCGCTCGTCAACTTACTTGAGCAGGTGTGGCCGGAAGGGTGGGAGAGGTTGTTGAACATATCCCACGATCTGCAAACCACCCGTGCGGCGCGGGTTCAGCAAGATTTTTTGCTGGCTCAGGCCACCCGTTCTCCTCCTTCCATGTCAGCCTGACGAACACATCCTCATCCATGCTGCATGTTGCGCCTCCTACTTCGGTCCACTAGCCCACTGTGCTACTGCTGCTTTGGCCACCAAGTACACCTCCAGGACCAGCTCAATCGTGCCCATGGGAGTGAAGTGACGGGGAAGTCTTCGAGTGTGACTGGAAAGCGTGGAGAGAGCCTCCTCCCTGTAATTCTCTGAAGCAACAGCGCCACGGGTCTCAGTGGCCCCAGAATCAGTACAAGTTATGAAGGAGACCATTTTCGCTCCATCCAAAAGATCCCAATCAAACGTCGCCATTGCAAACACAACAAAAAGAAAAGTGTCTGCGTCTGAGACACAACGGGGGATGTCAGAATCCGAAGAGTCACATACCTTCAAGCTGTTTGTTGCTTGCACACTTGAGCCAAAATTGATTGCCATTTTGGCAACACGACTTGCGGCCCATTTTGGCTAATGAAATGCATTCAAAATACTTACATGTTACATTATATACATGCTTTCCACATGTTCCGAGCACGTAATATTCAACATCAGGCTTGACAAGTTGACTACTATTTCAACCCCGAACCTGCGCCACCCTGCCTCTGTGTAGAAGTCCAGGTTGGGGGCATGCAAGGCTGCTGCATGGATCACAGATCCTCAGGCAACATGCTGTTAGAGTACAATGGGTCGTGGTAGTTAAAGCAGGATCATTATCATGGACCCTATGACAATGGTGGTCTCTGCTGACGTTGCTGGGAATCCAGAGGCAAGGATTGTGACCATAGGTTGGGAAACATCCTATATAGATAACTGTTAAAGTGCTCCTTGGAAAAATAATGGTGACAAAACAAATGTGGAGCAAGTTGCTGCATCCTTCCGCAGCACGCTGTACCACTTGCTCCATCCCTACATCACCTGCCATATTCTCGACAGTGTCCGGGGCCATGAGGTCCAAACCTCTTGCTTTGATGCCCAAGTCTCTAAGGATTGCAAGCAAGGCTGAACCCAGATACCTCTGCAAAACGAGAATGATGCCAGCAACCATGTGGCAAGTGCGAGTGCAAGTCTGCTAGCTAGGAACTGGTGTCTTCAGTGACTGGGTAGTTGCTCTTCATGGCAAAACCAGCCTTGCCATGAATGTGTGGATGGTTTTTTGCAGCGCTCAAATGTAAGAAAAGCAAAACAGCTGCACAGGTCAGGTCGTGCTACCCACAGCTTCCAGTGACAAGCACAGGAGCAGCAGTTTGCAACTGCTGATAAAGCTCTTCGCCAACCACAGCACGAGAGAGCCGCTTCATTGCGCTGGCGATACACCTGAACAATTAGTCCGAAGTGTATGGCGCACTTTGGACCCAACGCTGTGTTCTGTTACATTGTGTACTATATACGTGCTTCAAACCACATATAGCCCATACTTGGGCACAGGACCTTCACAGCTCTTCCCGTTCAGCATACAAAAAAACAGCACCCTCAAAAGCACCCAGTCGGGCAACAGCAACTGCAGTGTTGCCAGCACCTGCCTTGGCGACAACCTTCCGAAACACCCGTGGGCAGCACCCTTGTCTCAGCAAGCCTGGTGACGGACCCTCAACCGCAGTTGCACAAAACCCTGCGCAGTGCCCTGGAACTTGGAAAGCTAGCGTCAGCACCTACTTAGAAAGTTGTTGGGTAATTAGAGTGAGACCTCTATGAACCCCGCTCACAAAGGTTAAAGGTATCTTGCAATACGGTAATCATGCTTGAACCATTGCGAACCGAAGCCACGTCGACCCAAGCCAGTGCCTCTCTTTGGCAAGCGCTAGCTGCTTCTGAGCCCGTTCTTCGTCCCCAAGTAGAAAATAGCGTATTGGGACACCAATGGCCATACCTTGACTTCTGTATTCAGAAAGAAACGCAAAGAGAAGCACAAAGTCAGTGCAACTCTCCAAAAATTGGCTGATGTCCATTTACACAAGGATGACGGTTGAAATGCAACAGGCCTTGACCCCCTCAACTATGTCGGAAACTGTATGTTAGGATGGCTCTCTAACACGTTTTGCAATACCTTCTTGGTGTCTGCGAATTAATTATGTTCTTAAGATTGAACTGCTTTTACTTTAACCTTGAATATCTCGCTCTTTAACTTTGACGTATGTTCCCTTACCTCTGAACTATGTTACCCTTAAACTGACATATTGCACCGTTAATTGTGTACTGTTTTTACCTGTACAGTCCAAGCAATTTACCTGGCACACGCTACTTGACCCTTACAGTAACATTGAACTATTTCACCCTTATGTAACAGTATATTATAATGTTAGTTTTGACTTTTGGCTTGCTTTGCTCTTACATATTTTCTACCTTGTCTTTCCCCTTACTTATCTAAGTATCTTTTCTGTTCAGTTATACTAAGTAGTCATGAAATGTATGACGCATTTGGCTTGTGGTTTATTCCGTGGCCAGCCTTGCTGCTCTCCAGGCTCAGTCGAATCCATGGAAGCCACAGAAGAGTCCAACATCTGCAGCTAAACGTGGATGCAGCTACTTTATGCCATCTTGACAAGGCTTCAAACGTGTTTACCCCAACCGCCCTCCACGCAGGACT